CGGTGACCATTCATGTTTAAGCTTAGATCTGTGTACCATCCAATTCTGAACCTAGGTTACTGATACGGGTCCTCTATTCCGTCTCTTATAGTCGTGGTTTCCCCAGTTCTTATGGCCTGTGGTCAACGTACTTTCGGCTGGAGCTAATTGCGACTCTTTATCCTCCAAAATTCCTTTTGTGCTAAATAGATGCTAAATTCCAGCTTTTTTTTTAGTTAGTTTTGCTGTTTTCACTTCCTTATCCTGTCCATTATAGGGTACTAAAAAGTACTGTGCAAGATAAAGAACGAGACTTTACCAATGGCTCCGGAGAGCACGGTAGGGTGGGCACACACATCATAATTGCTCTGCTGAAATTCCTAGGAAGACGTCCTATTTAGCTTCGTCAGAGTCCAGTCAGTCTTCCACTGCATGGATGTTGTATAGGATTTTCGTGAAAAGGTCGGGTGACTAATTTGCGGGTTCAAGGGTCAAAGGTTCAAGTGTGTAGAACGGAGGGTTAATATTTCCCTCTTAACTTAAGGTATAACAGAGGACATAGCGGAATTTGGCGGCACAAATCCTTAATGTGCTTCGACTTCTTAAGATATTCGGTGGTGATATGTGCAATGGGCGGAAGCCCATCACCAGTGCAAAGATTGGAGGTCACGAGTCAAGAAGGCGCAAGTGGGGAAAAGCGCTCAAGATATCCAGACATTTTTCTAGGACAATGGCCTAATGGAACAGAGTTGGGAAAACTTTTTGTTTCAGCACTGACCTACCATTATTTTATCACTTTATTGAGAAGGCAGTGAAAATAGTGCCTTTCCACTGACGTGCGGAAGAGTAAGTGTCTGATATACGCTTTTGAGCCTCAGAATGAGGGTTAACAGTGGTTTTAACCATGGATTCCTGGACCATGCCTCAATGAGTCACAGTGTGTCATATTTAATGGCTAGCATCCATACATCTAGAAATCCAATAAGCCTGGATAGCCAAACGCGTACCAGCACAAGGCGCACGGACTGATAAGGCGTTGGAATCGAATCCCATCTGATTTTTTATATTTTGTTACCGCTGTTTTCTTGTATTTAGCTCATCTACGTAGTTCAGATGCAGCTTGTAGAATTCGCATGATCGTGCGTCCCGTCCGTGCGTCGTCCGTCAACAGTTTGGGCACAATTAAAGTCTTAACGTCGCTCTACGGTAGCGTCAACTGATATTCGGGCGTGGGGGGGTAATCCGAAACAGTTGGGTATGTTGTAGCGCGGGGGTCAAAGGTCAAAGGTCAAGAGGTCGTAGAAAGAAGGGGGACATTCCCTCTTTAACTTAAGGTTATACGGAGAAATGCAGAATTGCGGACACAAATCGTAAACGGGCTCGACCTATGGCTCGTGATCAGTCGGATTTGTATAGCATCATGGTAGGAAAACCTATCACTTGCTGCGAGAATTGGATCGGTAGCAGGTCAAAGTCGTTAATGGGGCACAGGGCAGATTTTTTTAGACATTTTCGAGGACTATGTGTCTGGACGGCTGCGATTGAAAAGACCTTTTTTGTTTCAGGGTGACACTAGGCATTCTTTATGGCTTTATTGAAAGGCAACATGAACATTGTAGCTTTCTGCTGACATGCTGAGAGTTAAGCCTGTCGGGATAAACCTTTTGACCTCGAAGAGAGGATGTTAAACATGGAGTTTAAGTTTACTGTTAGAAATAATTTGACTGGCCGTGGTTTGCTAGTAGAATCTATACATGCCTGGATGTATGAGGCTACAATGTCACAGTGAGATTTCAAAAGCTAAACTTGGTTGAAGGTTTATGCTCCTTAAATCGTATAATTTCTATGGCATTCTTTACTGTCAGTGTGTTACATGTAACTTATGCCAAATTATAACAAATTATTATTTTTTTAATAGGGTTAGGGATAGGGTTAGGGTCACACAAAATGCACCATAAAACACGAGTTTCAGGCACGCGATTTGTATCAACCAATGGGATTTGGGAGGTATGCAGAAGGTTGCTGAAATGATGTGTACGCAACTGCGTATCTGCATATCTGCGCCTAACAAAGGTGTCACTACGCACGACTTAAATGTTACGTTTATAACCGTAGCAACAGACCTCAGATGAGCCCAGACGCTCTGCGGCTCTTGTTTAATCTGATTATGGTTAGTTCATCTGGGCCTTTTATTTGCGTGTGAGTACGCATCTGTACATGTTGACTGCAGTATTCATTAACTTGGCCGTCCAGCTATGAACGTAACGAGACAATGTAACCTTTCCTTGCAGACATGGGCAAATCGCGTTCTTGGAGTGATGGCATGGGTAATGCCCTTGTTTGTGGCCTGCTCAACCTTTGGTGGGGTCAATGGAGGCATTTTTGCGTCATCTAGGTGAGTAGCGAGCAGTTACGTGAGAGTAGCAACTTGCCTGCTGACACTGCAAGTGCTGCCAGCGTTTGGGTGGTTACTGCCAATACGGTGTGTGAATTTTAAACTAGCATGCCGGTTGCTGTTCTAAATAGGTGAGCGGTCATGTTTCATATTTGGATAGTTCGATTTGTTCGATTCATATTTTGGATAGTTTGATTTGTTGCTCCGTCATGTTGACATCTAAGCTGGTGACAATGATGTTTTTGCTATAAGACCACATTGAGCATGAAAGCGGCTGCAGCTGCACAGTATTGCTGTGCATTGTATAGATGTTTGGGCCTTTTTTTTTAAACGAGTGGATTAACTGAATGTGCACATTTTGCAGGTTGTTTTTCGTTGGAGCTAGACAAGGCCAGTTACCAGATGCACTGGCCATGATCAACGTGGAAAAGGTTACCCCTATGCCTTCCCTTGTATTTGTGGTAAGTATCTCTCTCCCTTTCTCCCCTTTTCCCTCTCTCCCTCTTCTCTGCTCAGCTCGCCACGTCACCCCGCAGACAGCGAGGTACAGCGAGCGTAGAATTACGTGACCGAAATAAGGCTATCTGCATGCGTATTGCGATTTAGCTCCGGGTCTGGTCCGCTTGTTGTGTACAGACACACACACAAGCGGGCTATCTTATCCCAGGCTAAGTTAGCCCGGGCTTGGCCCTGCTTCATTTGCGGGGCCAACTTGGAGCGGGTCAGCGCGTATTTGGAGCAGGATAGCATGCAACCCTCGCCGTAACCGACGGCACCGACGGCGACTGCCGTCGGTGCCCTTCTCACATGCCGCGTGCTGCCCCTGAAAATCCCACATCACCCACGGCAGTCCACTGCCGTGCCCTTTTATGGAACCGCCGTCGGTGCCCTTCCCTAGCTAAAGTTTCTGAACTTAGCTTTAGTTCATATAATTTCCTGAGAGTCCATTGGAGAGAGTTGTAATACAATAATTTCCTGAGAGCTGGCCATTGAGAGTGGCAATATAAATACAACTCAACAACACAACTCAGCGCACGCCGCATACGGCTTACGAGATCCAAGGAGCTAAATATAACAAGGAGAGGAAGCGGATTAGCTGTGTGCTTTTCGCCTCAAGGGCGCTATCTATGGACCATAATCAGCTGAAACGGCTGAGAACAGACCACTATTAAATCCTCCATAGGATCCTATACTTAAGAATTGAATTTCAGGAGCTGAAAAATAGTATTTCGGCCGTTTTCGGCCAAGTGGCAATATTAAAGCTAGGTAGCCATGTACTTCAGCTGTGCACCATTAGAGTTATGACATATGTTGTCCGGCGTTTTAAAAAAATATCGCGAATTTACTAAACGACACCACATTTGTGCCTGAAAAACAGTCGCGCAGTCCAATGGGGACCATACATTGAAAGAATTCGTTTTAAATTACCAGTAACCATCCACCCATCTCAATGTGTATGTCATTGCCACACACGATAGCCAGCCTAAATAATGCAACCACAAAACGTCGCGTCAGCTTTAGTGCACGAGCTGCGGGCCCTCCGATTGGTCGGCCGATGACGCGTCACATCCTCTAACCTAACAGGGTAATGAACCGGTAGTGATTTAATAGTGGTCACGTGTCGGCTGTGCAGACCGAACCCAGAGACAATAGAACACTGATCTGTTCTAGATTAGTCAAAAGTCTAGGCCTTGCTGAGTTATAACACATGAATGATCAATCAATAATAAATAATTCCATGCACATCCCCTTTACATGTACCCCCAGAGTGCACCCCCATGTACCCCCCCCCATACAGTGTACTTTTTTGCAGATTTTGAGAATTGCCTTGGTGCCCTTCTCAAATTTTGAAAATTGCCTAGGTGCCCTTAAAAAATCAGAGAATTCAGCCTAGACTTTGTTACAAAATCCAAGGCAATTTTTCATGTGCCCTTTAAAAACTGCCTTGCCCCTAGGGCTTAAGGCGAGGGTTAATTGATAGCCTGTACACACTGCAAATATTTGGCGTGGGCCTGGCGCGCACTAGTTTAATACCATATCAAATTCGTAGTCTGTACGGGGTATAAGATCTTGCCCCCGATTTGCACGGCTGTGCACAGCTAAAATAGACTGTAAAAACATGACTAAAAAAAACAAAACCCTTGTCAATTGTGAATTCAAATGAAACATGACCAGATTCAGCCTAAAGGTGCGGTTTCGTGACATTCAGAGCCCTGCTGAGATAACCAAGCAACTAAAACATATGAAATCAGCTTAGGCCAACAAGAGTCTGTTTAAAAAGCTTTGTAAAAACGACATTTGTGTTCTGCTCCATTCTATTGAGGACATTAATTCGCCGCCTCTAGAAGGGTTAACTTTGGCAAGCAGAATTGGCATTGCAAATGACTGTAAATAATTGCGATGCCTAAAAAAACACACAAGAGCGCGCCTCACAGCATCGAAAGCACGCACGTTTCACAACTCGAAAGCACACACGTTCACATTAACGAACCTGTGTGAGTCTAACATGGACTGGTATAAACGGAGCAGTAAACCTGCCAAGCCGCATGTTCAGCACATCGACCAGCCTGCGTTGGATGTCTACACTGGGAACGTGAAAGACGGAGGATGGGCGCGACCTGCCCAACACCACGTACGTCACATCTTCTGACGCAGCCTGTCGTTGAATTCTAACATGGGACTTGAAGACGGGCATAAGCACCAATGTTAAACTCACCGAGCTGCGTGGAATGTCCAACGTGGGACGTAGAAAAGACAGGAGCAGCGAGACCTCCCAAACACGTACGTTGCACACTCGACAGCCCGCGTTGATGTCTATCGTGGACTGAAGAGTGGACATCGAGCCAGTGTGAAGTGTGTACGACCTGCCCAGCGAGCAGGAAATTTTTTTTTCACGGAGCTGTCTCTTTTTCAAAAGTTGTGCAAAAAAGAGCTCTCATCAAAAATTTACAGGGAGCCTAATTTGACCTGACGGGAGCATTTCGGAGGGTTAAGAGCTGAATCGCTCAACCGACGCCCAGTGTAGTTTTTTATACCTGCCATCTGAGAACCCTCCTTTAGATGGGACTGGCATGGTCTGGTCGCTTCCATCCAGCAGCAAGAGTCCAGCTGACCGAACGCCCAGACATGACATCTCGATGAATTACTGACTAGTGATAGGCATTAGACGTCCGTCCAAGCACAAATGATCAGCGACAGAAAGCCACTGAAAGAACATCTAATAAGTAAAATACAAGTAAAAAAATCCCACTTTCACAAAATGTAAGTAATTCTCTTTACTGAGTAAATTGCTGCATTAATAACTTCCATTTTACTATATTGTTCATGTAAACCATACACTCATACCCATACATAGACTATATAGTCAGTGAAGAAAGCAGGATAATAATATCAAAATCGTTCCAGGTTTTTGGATTTTTAACTATTAAAACATCTTATCAGGTATAGAATTGACGTACATAGATCCGAGTACTTACTTTAAGAAAAAATGCAAATTTTTCTTAATACAATACATCAATATAGAAAACGTGACTATCAACTTGAAACAACCAAGTGGCTACACACCACGATTTATCGCCGGGGGCCCACCGACAGCAGCGGCGGCAGCCAAAATAGTACAAAACGGATACACACAGAAAGCAATAAATCTGAGTCTGCAACTGCATGCTGGATGCGCTAAAAGAGAAATAGAGAGATAGAGAGATAAGAGAGATAGAAAGATAGAGAGCAAGAGAGAGATAGAGAAGAGAGGGAGAGGAGGAAGGACAAGACACAGAGACAGAGGCAGAAGAGACAGAGACAGAACAGAGACAGAGACAGAGAGACACGAGAACAGAGAGACAGAAGCGAGAGAAAGTAAGAAGACAGGAGAGACAAGAGAGACAGAGACAGAAAAGAGAGAGATAGAGAGAGAGAGAGAGAGAGAGAGAGAGAAGAGAGAGAGAGCGAGTGTATGGGAGGAGAGAGGAAAAGGGAGAAAGGAGAGAGATACTACCACAAATACAAGAAGCAAAGGTATACCTTTCCACGTGATCATGGCCAGTGCATCTGTAACTCCTTGTCTAGCTCCAACGACAAAACAATCTCTGCAAAAAATCTGCACATTCAGTTTAATCCACGTTAAAAAAGCTCGCCCCAAACATCTAAACAGCACACAAAACTGTCAATTCTCAGGCCACTTTCGGGTCCAAATTAGTCTTATAGCAAAAACATCAATTTTTTTTTGGTCACCACTTAGATTCAAAGACGGAGCTAACCCAAATAGAAACACTGACCTCACGCTTTCAAGAAAGCAACCGGCATAGCTAGTTTAAAATTCACCCATGTATGGCAGAAACCACCCAACACGCTGCACACTTGCAGTGTCAGCACGCCAATTGCATACCTCACGTAACTCGCTCGCATACCACCTAGATACAGCGCAAAAATGCCCCTCCATTGACCCCGACCAAAGTCAGCAGGCCACAAACAGGGCATACCCATGCCATCACTTCCAAGACAGCGATTTGCCCATGTCGCAAGAAAAGGTACATTGTCGCGTACGTTCATAGCGAACCGCCAATTTTAAGATACCTGCATTCAAAACATGTAATATGGCGTACCACACGCAAATAAACAGCCCCATGATAAGCTAACCATAAACATATAAACAAAGCCGCAAGAGCAGCTGCTCATACTGAAGGTCGTATGTACGGTATAAACGAACATTTAAAGTCGAAGCGTAGGACACCATTGATAGGCTCGATAAGCAATTACGCATGCGTACACAGCATTCATAGCAACCTTCTGCAAACTTCCCAAATTCAACATTGTTATAACAATCGCCGTGCACTGAAACTCTGTTTAATGGTCAATTTTGTGACCTAACGCTATCCCCTAACCCTATTAAAAAAATACCATAATTTGTATACATTGCAATAAAGTAGCATGTAACACACTGACATAAAGAACGCACTAGGAAATAGACATATAACGAGCATAAACCTCTCAACCAAGTTAGCTATGAAATCTCACGGTAAACAATTGGTAGCCTCATACATCCAGCATGTATATCACTAGCAAACCGTGCAGTCAAATTATTCAAACAGTAAAGCAAATCCATGTTTAACACTCCTCTGAGGGTCAAAAGGTATGCCGCACTTACCTCGCTATGTCAGCAGAAAGATACATTCATGGTCCTTATCATAAAGCATAAAATGCTAGTCACCGCTGAAAACAAAAAATTTTCAATCCGCCGTCATGACCAATGTCCTCAGAAAATGTCTAAAATGCCTGTGCCTCTCATTACTTTGACCTGTGACCTCTGGCTAATTTTCTGGCACAGGATGTGTTTTCCTAACTATGATGCTATTTTAGTTTTTTTTTCCTTGACATCATCTATCTCTTATCTATTTTTTTCCGTTAGATTTCTCTTTTTTTTTGTTCTAATTCTGCATTCCTACGCTAACCGTTAATTTAAAAA